TGAGGAAGGTTAGCAAAAGATTCAAGGAACTCTGAGACTTCCTGCTGCCTGCCAGCTGTCCATTAGGCTCAGCCACTGAAAGAGCTTTGGGAAGAATGTGAGTTGGGTGAGGCAAGGTCTGAGGGAGTTACCAGGGTGGAGAGAATGGAGAGCATCAGGCTAATGCAGAATCAGGTGTGGCTCTGTTGGGGGAGGGCTGAACACAGAAAATGCCAGCTGTCCCCTCGGCTTTCACTCTGAAGCCACACAATTCAGTTTATCTCTGTATGTCTCTGGTACCCACTGAGTCTGAACAGAGGTTTGTTTGTTTGTTTGTTTTTTAAAGAAAAACTGCATATGATATTTGTCTTTCACTACCTGGCTTACTTTGCTTAGTGTAATGCTATACCATATGATCTCACCTTTAACAGAAACCTAATCAACAAAACAAACAAATAAGCAAAATATAACCAAAGACACTGAAATAGAGAACAGGATGACAGTGACCAGAGGGGACAGGGGAGGAATATCAGGGGGAAAGGGGAAAGGTTTGCAGGAACAAGTATAAAGGACACATGGATAAAAACAAGGGCAAAGGTGGAAATGGGAGGGAGGTGGGGAGGGCGGGGGGCGGGGTGGGCTGGGATGGGAATAAAAGACAGAAAACTGTACTTGAACAACAATTAAAATTTAAAAAAGAGCTTAAAAAACCCCCTGCAATATGGGAACCCAGGCTGGTTGCCACAAAAGGAAAGCACCTCAGGGCATGGGTGCATTGGGAAGTGAGGGCCTCAGATAGTCATCAGGGTGGAGCCAGGAGAGATCTCCAGGCTAATGTAGCCTCAGATCTGGCTGGTGAGGGGAGAGCTCGACACACACACACAAATGACAACATGGCTGCTTGGGAGGAGGACTCAACAGAGGGACAGAGTTGAGGGATACAGGTTGGTAATATTCATGTATTAGTTAAAATCATAGTATAACTAAAAGGTAAAAGTTTTAAAGGTAGAGAGAATCTTATAAAAACAAAACTTGTGCCCACAATGCGTTGCAGAGAGTTTGTTGGTTTAAGAAGTGCCAACATAAGAAGTATTTACAGACCTGACCATAAAATGATGCAAGTCAAGTCTTTGTTCCTGCAATGAACTTGAGTCAAAAGAACAAAAAATATTTTGTTTGCTCAACTTTAAATTCTCTGAAAATGTGTTCATACCTGAGGGGAAAAGTTTCTGAAGTTGAATACCATGACCAACACTTTATTTCAGCTACCATTGTCCCCAGTTGTAGCTAAACAAGTTCTTGAGCGATATTAGAAAATGTAAGCAAATTTTAATTGTTAAAATTGGCCATAGTACATTTTAAAGTGTAGCAAGGGGAAATCTGTAAAATAAATTAATTTAAAATAGTCATTGAGTCTTATATTTGCAACTAAAGAAACCTGAAAATGTATCGTAGGGGTATTTCCTTCCCAAAGATCAGGGGGACACCCTTCTTGTTAATAGTCCCCTAGATCATTGATAGATACATTTTATAAGGCACAGAGACTAGAACCTGGAAAAATAGACATCAGTCTGAAGAATATTTCAATAGTGTCCCTTTTATTGTCAAGGTAATGTTAACTAATAATTGAATGCCATCCACACTGGTTTGTCAACTCCGTATTAATGAGGTGCTTTTGTGTGTATGTATGAGCTACTTCACATATCCCAAGAGAAAAAATAAATTTAAATAAGTCACTCCTCCTCTGAGCTCTGTCATCCAATCCTCACTCTTTTAGAAGAAACAGACTAAAGGAAGCTCTGGGAGGAGGTCATGTGGTGTATATAGCCTGCTCACTTCATGCCCCCTCACCAGTGACCTGCCTTCCTTTTCTATATCCAAAATAACTCAAAGTAATGACACCTGATTGTAACTTTTACTTTCACATTTAGGGTGCTGATAGGCAGACTTCTACTCTCCAATAGAAATACTATAAATTAGAAGCATCCAAAAGTGAGCATAACATAAATTAAGAAACACCAGCTGGAGAACATTTCATGCATTCATTCTCTCTTTATTTTGATCCTCTTTCCTTTTACAACTCTGGCAGATTATTTCTCTGGTACTGAATGGCCCAAATCTTGTAAAACTATGTGCTCTCAGATAGTATCTCTCAAATCCATTTTCTTTCCTGATGGAGAAAGGATAACTACAGGCAAATGGTCTAGAAATGTACTTACCTGCACATCAGGATTGTCCAAAGATCAACTGGTATACCTTCCAACTAACACTGGAATGACCTTCACAGTATTCTCCACTTGTGTTTGATTACTGAGCCTCTATGGGAAACTCTAGAAATTACTGGGCCAGAAAAAGAGTAGTACTCACTACTTTTGCAATGTCTCTTCACATTCTTGGCAGTCCTTGCACATAGAACCATTAACTCCTCTACTATAAAGTTTCTCCAATTTTTTTAGCTTTTGTTTCTGGAGACATTTAACAGAATATCATTTTTTCCCATACATTGTGACCTGTGCACTTTTTCTCCGTAGACTCTTTATAAACCCTTTTGTAAAGCTCTACATTCTCAGAAAGTGGTGTCAGCATTGAAGATGTCTAACATATCAGTTACTAAAATCACATTAGCTTTAAAGGAAATGAAATTACTTCTGCAACTGCAGAGTCTAAGATAAAAATTAAGTTTGTGATGACCTTGAGTTTAAAGCAAATTTATTTACACGGACACACACTGCCCCACTCCCTGTCATGGTTCTAATCTCATTCGTGACCCAGTTTGTGGCTCCCAACATTTTACGTTGCTGTAGGAAACTCATCCTTGAAACTGTTTAGCTTTCTTATGGTATACTTTATATAAAACCTTGGCTGCATGTGAGGCTTCTTATTTATCTTAATATCTCTTCAGCACCAGCATGTTTTAATTAAAATTTTCTGTTTGGCAGTTCAAGAATTTTGAGATAACAAGATATGCATAGTATTAAAGATAACCCATACAAAAAACCTTAGCTGATATTTACTTATTCCATTCCTACTTCACTTTTCATGGATTCTGATTGTGATTTGAAAGACAGATCCCAATCATTTGTAATTGTTTTCCATTTTAGGGAGGTTTGCATGTTATCCACTTTGATGGGGGACAATTAGTTTTAATAATGGGGTCAAATAAATTTGGAAGGTGTTCCACTTACTAATTACAAATCCTCCCCCCATTTAAAAAGCAAATGTGTTCAAGATACACACACAAAAATGAAACTAGACCATTTTCTCACACCACATACAAAAATAAACTCAAAATGGGTTAAAGACTTAAATATAAGACCTGAAGCCATAAAACTTCTAGAAGAAAACATAGGCAGTAAATTCTTTGACATCAGTCTTCCAACATTTTTTACATATGTCTCCTGGGGCACAGGCAATGAAAGCAAAAATAAACAAAGGTGACTACGTCACACTCAAAAGCTTCTGCATCATGATGTAAACCTTCAACAAAATGACAAGCCAACCTACTGAATGGCAGAAGATATTTGCAAATGATATATCTGATAAGGGGTTAAAATCCAACATATGTTAAGAATTCATACAACTCAATATAAAAATGCAAACAGTATGATTTAAAAATGGGCCAAGGACTTTAATAGACATTTTTCCAAAAAGGACATATGGATGGTCAACAGACACATGAAAAGGTGCTCAACACCACTGAGGGAAATGCACGTCAAAACCACAAAGAGATATGATCTCACACCTGTCAGAATTACTATTATAAAAAAAAAAACCAGCAAAGAATGAGTGTTGGTGAAAATGTGGAGAAAAGAGAGCCCTGGTGTACTGTGGGTGGGATTTTAAACTGGTGCAGCCATTGTGAAAAACAGTATGTAGATTACTCCAAAAATCAAAAATAGAGCTACCATATGATACAGCAACCCCAGTTCTGGCTATTTATCCAAAGAAATCCAAAACACTAGTTTGAAAAGATACATGCACCCCTAGGTTCGTTGCAGCATTACTTACCACAACCAAGCTATAGAAGCAATCTAGGTGTCCACTGATAGGTGAACAGGTAAAAATGATGTGATACACACACACACACACACACACACACACACACACACACATATGTGTGTGTATATGTATATATGTATATATATGTATATATGTATATATATGTATATGTATACGTGTATATATGTATATATACATATATGTGTGTGTGTATATATATATACATATATATAAACTATTATTCAGCCATAAAAAAGTGTGTTAATATGGATGGACCTAGAAGGTATTATGCTCAGTAAAATAAATTAGATAAATACAAATACCATGTGATTTCACTTATATGTGGAATGTAAAAATCAAATAACAAAATGAAGAAACAAGCTCATAGATACGTATGATACTGAGAAAAAACTGGTGGTTTAAAGATAGGAAGGATTTGGTGATGGGCAAAAGGTGAAGGGGAGTAAGAGGAGTGAACTGCCAATAACGCAATAAGTGACAGAGATGTAATGTACAGCACAGGAAATATAAATAATAATACCGTAATAACTACATGGTAATATGGCTACTAGACCTACTGTGGCATTCGCTTTGTAAGATATATTAACATTTGGTCACTATGTTGTTTACCTGAAAATAATATAATATCGTATGACAACAGTATCTTTTTTAATTTTTTAAAAGTAATTGTATCTGGAAGAAGTTGTGAACTGTGTTTTTATACCTTTTACCTCTCGCTTGAAGATCGGTTTAAACTCTAAAACAGTAGCAATGAGATATTTCAAGGACAAACCATGACAGTCAAATATCACCTAACTGACTTGTCCGAAGTAGTTCGTTCTCACGTCCCTTCACGCTGGTATTTTCATGGGATTCCGACTTCAGGGAGAATGACCACAGGTGCTCGAGTCCTCAGAACACACCGCGACCGCACTGTGACACAGTAGCCCTGCCGTGGCTTGTGTGTAAGGAAAGAACAGCCACAGCAGAATGCCTCACAAGTACATGTTTTCACTTCGCAGAAAAGATGACTCCACAGGCCGGGTGTCTTGCGGCTGAGCCCCCAACGCAGGAGGAGGAGCATCAGACGCGGAGAATGATGGCAAAGCGGTTGAAAATCATCAAGGAGCTGATACAGACGGAGAAGGACTATCTCAACGATCTAGATCTGTGCATTAAGGAAGTGGTCCAGCCCTTGAGAAATAAACAGGTAAAGGCGACTCTGAACCCCACCCCCATCCTAAATAGGACCAACTTCGTGAAATCAAAGCACCCGAGTGAGTCTGTCAGTGGCGGCACCTGCTGCACCGTGGGTGGGGGCACGGGCCCTTTCCCCTGGGTCCGAGTTTGCCGTGGCAGACAGAAGGCATCGTCAGACTCACACTTTCTGTGCCCGCGGAGGGACACCCAGAGTCCGTCCTTTTGGCCAAGGAAACTGTGTTCTAAAACATGGGGGATAAGAAATTCAAATTTTTGACACTTTGAAATTTCTGTGTGTTCTTTCCTGGATTCCTGTGTAACTGCTAACAACATGTGAACTCGTTTTCAGCGGTTTAGGAACAAAGCACTTAATTTGATTCAAAGATGATCAAGGATTCAGGCAAGAAAAATATGTTTTTCTTTTCCCTTATGTTGATAGCTTGGTTAAAGTTATCTCCATTTAGCTCAATTAAACTCATGACTATCAATATTGAAGTATTGTAAAATTCAACATAAAAATTAACCTGAAAGTAAGGTAAAAGTTTTCTCCTTGGTAGGGCTGGCCCCAGGCAAAACTTGAAGTACTTAAAAACTAGTCATTCTCCTCCTTTTTTAATTGAAGCTTTTCAAGGAATTTCTCATAGAGAATTAGAGTAAAGGTAAAGGATGCTCGATTCATACCTCCCTGTATACACACGTTCATGCGTGCACACTCCCACATACATATGAATATGGGCATTTTTGTCCACTCACCACGTATTTATGGAGTCTTGATTGGCACTGTTTCCAGCACTGGAGTTACAGTTTAGTAAAAAAAAAAAAAAAACCGAGTCTTGCCCTTGTGAGGTTTAGTTTCTAGTGGGGGAGGGGAAGAGTCAGACAATAAACAATAAAGAAAGAAAAAATTAAAAAATATTACATGGTGTTAAGTACAGCATAGAAAACTAGCACAGGGATGAGGGATAGAACATTAGAACAGCTGAGTGGTGTTTCCACTTCAAATAGAGTGGCAAATGCAGACCGTTCTAATGGGGGACATTTGAGCAAGGAAGTGAAGGAGGTAAAGGGCGTTCGAGGCAGAGGGGAGCTAGACAAGGAGGAGTGACAATCTCATCACAGGGTTGCGAGTGGTCCTCATACACAATTCAATGTACAAAACATAAACTAGAAAGGGAAGATTATCAGAAATTTCACTACTCTGAGATAATTGCCACTCTTTTAGACATTTTTACATAAATGTAATCTAAAGCACACACGTTATCTTGTAACACACTCGTTTCATTTAGCAATCGTGCATTTAGGATGCATACTTTTATGGCTACTCACACTTTTCAATGTCTTTCTACTGTTGCTGATGCTGAAACACACTACGTTTTGGGTGCTGTCACCTTCTGTCCTTAGAATAAATTCCTCAAAGTGGAATGGCTAGGTCAAAGAGATGCACAGTTAGGATTTTGATAAAAATTGCCAACTGACATCCAAAAAGTTGATACTATTTGAATTTTCATTCCCATTAACAGTGATTGAGAGGGCTGATTCTCTGCCTGCCCCTTGCAGCTGAGCATTACTGATTTTATAAACAATGAAGACCGGGTTCTTTTGATTTCCTCTGGAAAAATATCTTCTTATGTATTCATTAGCTGCTTCTATATTCAACCCTTATTCATAATCATGTCTTTTGTGCTTTACAGAAATTAGGGCTTGTCTTTTTCTTATTGTTTTACAAAACCTCTTTTTTATTAAGAATATTCTTTTCTACCCTACATGCTGCAACTAATTTTCTGTTTGTCTTTTGCCTTCTAAACTTGTTTAAGATTAAAAAGTAAAAACGTTGTTTAAGGTTTATTCATTTATTTTTGCATTGGGCATATTAATATGTACCCTTAATTATAAAAATATAGTTAGCCAGTTGTCCCAACATCAATTATCCAATCTTTCCCCAGGTACTTATAAAATCCAGAAGCACAGATTTTTTAACAAAAGTCTCTTCTCAGAAATGTTAAAAAAATTAGAGAGTAAAAATTAGGAAAAAACAGTATACATCAAGGTACTGGTGTATATAAAAGAACCTTTGGTATAAAAGTTGTATTTTGATTTAAGACAATGTACAGAAAAAGTGGCAAAACTGACTTGGGATTTCTCCTTCGTAGATAGTCATGTCCCGTTTTGCTCTCTCATGACCCTGTCTTAGGTATGTACTGTCAGTCAGGTCCCCTTCCACTTTGTCAGTATTCTCACTTAACCCTCGCACAGTTCTCAAGTTAGAAGGTAACTGACGACGTCCTGAATTTAGAAATTTCTTATGAATTCTATAACAGTAATAATAACATTTATAGTCATGATAAATATCTGCTTTCTAGTTTCATTGCTAAGTACGTAAAATCATTTTCATGTGTTTTCTTTTATTTAATATAAACTAGCTGCATCTGATGTAACCTCTTCTCTGGCAAATATTAATGGTGATCCACAACATTTTCATTTACACATCTCTTCAAATGGTAATTTTATCTGTACATGGCATCATGGCCTACCACCATCCACCCTCCCTGTGGTGCATTCCCACCAGTCACTCCTATTCTTTGAGAAGTTTAGAACATAGCCCACTGTTCCCATCTCTTCCCTTCTCTCCTTCTCCCCTCCTCTTCCCATCCTTCCCTCATCTCTCTCTCTCTCTCTCTCTCCATAATTCAGACATAAATTTTAGTTGATTGTAATCTTTAGGCAGGTGGTCCCCACAGCCTCCTTGTCTCTCTGTCAGGTTCTTGCCTTATTCATGTCCAGCCACCTTTCCTCAAACCCGTCCCAGCCACTCACTCCAGGGCCACCCTCTCAAACTGCCATCACCAGTAACTTCACCTTCTCAAAACCAGAATTCCAGGCTTACTGGTCCCCCATAGCCTCCCTTTCAGCCCACTGCCACTGGAACTGTCTCCAAAAATTATTTGATGTCACCAGAACCTCCAAGCCATTGACCTCACCCCCACTTTTCACTGTTCATCCAGCCCACACCTGGTTTAATTTCCACAAGTCCATTAAAATCAGTCCTGGAAGATGAATCCAATACCTTTTTCTCTCTCTCTTTCCATGTACTTGCCTAAAAATGCTTACCTTTGATGAAATCCAATTTTCTGCCCACTTTACACCATTATCCTGGTGTCTGAACAAATCTCTTTTAAAATTCAAGGCCATTTTCTTCAAGTGGGGCCCTTGGTGATGTCTCTGAAGGGATTCTCTCACATCTTCTTTCTCCTCACACCTCACTTTCTTTTATTTCCTAACTCTCAGCTAACAGCCTTTCCCACCCTTTTACTGAGAAAAATAAAATGCACACACTCTTGACTCCAAACCTGCCAACCTACCTGAATCTCTACCCCTGCAACCTGGCTAATGGTTCCCGCTTCTACTACCTCTCTCCTAACAAACTCATTGGATTTAGCCACAGACTTACTCAAGGTTTTGCTTCCTGTCAATGGCCTTCCTATTGGATCATGTTCATCTTTGTTATCTGATATCTAAAAAAGCCAAAAACAGAAACAAAAATAATTATCTATATTCTGTCTTATTGCTCTCTTTTAAACTTGTATATAAAACATTTAATATGTATAAAAGCATATGTGAGTAAGAAACGTTTCAAAGTAATATTTTACCAAAAATGTATTCCTGTGAGGAGTTAATGATCAGTATAAAGAAGATTAAGTATACAAGAAAATGTTTTCCTTTGAATTCATAATCCATTTTTGTATCGAATAAAATAAGAAGTTTATTCAGTATAAAAGTGTTTTCAATTTCACGTACTACACAGGTGAGTTAAACTGGCCCCATCAGAGTAAATGCCATTGCTGAGCTGTACTCTTACATAGGCTAACTTTTGTTTTTGTTGTTTTTCTTCTTTTTTGTTTCCTGTGTAACTCTTATAAGCAATCCTCAGAATTGGGGTTTCAGACCTGATGCAGACTCCAGCTCGTGGGGTCCTCGACCATGTGCATGAGACATGACAAATTCACACGGACTACCATGTCCTGTGGAGGAAAAGGGATGGCGTGGTTTCTCTCTCAAGAGGACCTTTGGCCTTTGACTTGACGGGCCTTTATTGCTTTTCTGGGCACATTACATGATTGTTCTCATTTACTATGCACAAGTTCACTTTAGGTGGTTACCTTCTACAGAAAACAAAGGAGAGGATGCCACTGATCACATCACAGAAGAAGGATATTTGCAAATGCAAAGGAAAAGTGGTTGAACTGGTTACACTCATCCTTGGTTTAGCATAGATTTTAGGAGGTTAATTTAAAGATATGCAGTAAATGTTTGCTGCCTCATTTCAGGGTGAGGGAGTTTTAGCAAAAAGCAAGTCTCAAAGCGGCCCAGATACAGTGCAGGCCTGATTCCCCACAGGAGAACCTATCTGTGGGTGTGGGTCCTGTGCATCTCCGAGTGGGAGCCCACTCGGAGATGCACAGGACCCATGCCACGCAGAATCGTCTCCTATACAGACCATGTAAAATATAATGTTTCCGGTATGATGCCAGATAGTTTAGCTTTTGTTCTCAGTGTTTTGAAGTACAGACAGTTCTCAGAATCCTAACTCATATTTCCTGTGTTATTATATTAATCTTGTTTATAGCTTGTTGATTTTTCATGTCTGGCACTTCTTTTCGCCTGGTTGTCTCCCAGTACTCTGCCCTCCTCCTCCCAGCAGCAGTTGCAGTCTAGTAGCCAGTTAGTGCCCACCATCACTTAAATAACAATTGTTTTAAGGTTTCTCAGATTTCTCAAGTCAGATCCAATTTTTTCCCACTTCTTAATGCTCTTAACCTTTGACTAGGTAAATAAATGTTCAGGAACTTATGTACCTATTATAAACATTTATATGAGTGCTGAGGTAGTTAATTGATGCCACCAGAACATTAGCTTTGCCACCTTTAACATGTTCATTACCTCCTTCATGTCCTCATTTCCCTCCTAACTATTTAAATACCATGGTCTTTGCACACAAGTCACCTGTCATCA